AAAAAACGACATAGCACAGCATGTTGAAAAAAAGTCATAGCATAGCATGTCGAAAAAAAGTCATAGCATAGCATGCCGAAAGAAAGTCATAGTATAATGTCTTAAAAAGTGAAAAAACGACATAGCACAGCATGTCGAAAAAAAATCATAGCATAGCATGTCGGAAAAAAGCCAAAGCATAGCATGTCGTAATAACGTCATAGCACAGCATGTCGAAAAAAGTCAAAGTATAGCATGTTGAAAAAAAGTCATAGCATAGCATGTCGAAAAAAGTCATAGTATAGCATGTCGAAAAAAAAAGTCATAGTATAGCATGTCGAAAAAAAAAAGTCATAGTATAATGTATTAAAAAGTGAAAAAACGACATAGTATAGCATGCCAAAAGAAAGTTATAGTATAACGTCTTAAAAAGTGAAAAAAGGACATAGTATAGCGTGCCCAAAAAAGTGAAAAAATGACAGTATAGCATGTCAAAAAAGTCATAGCATAGCATGTTAAAAAAGTGATAAAAACATCATAGTATAGCATGTCTTAAAAAGCAAAAAAAAAAAAAAAAGCCACTGTAGTATATCAAAAAAGTGATAAAAAGTCAGTATAGCATGTCTAAAAGTGAAAAAAACACCCCCGACAAGTATTGTATGTTAAAAAAGACAAAGCACAGGACGTCAAAAAAGTGATGAAAACACACACTACTACTGCTTTTACGTCTGGAGCCGCCGTCTACAATGGGCTTGAAAGGCCCCTCGTTGAGGCCTTTGCTCAGATTCCGGAGTTACTCTCTTATCCTGAAGCCTCCTTAAGGAATCTGATCCCAATTGATCTGGCGGTGGGAACGTCTTGCGACTGCATGCCTTTGCTGACGTCGACCCCAGCAAGATTCTAACAGTGGACCTTCTGCATGGAGGATGAGTGCGCTAACCACTGCACTAGGGAGTGATGAAAATGTCCTAGTATAGTATGTCGTGAAAACGTCATAGTATGGTATGTCGAAGAAAGTCATAGTATAGTATGTCATAAAAATTAAAAACAGTCATAGTATAGTTTGTCATAAAAATGTTATATCATAACAAATCATAAAAACTATGTTATGAAAGACTCACCTTCGGGTGGTAGGCGTGGCAGGACTCTGGACGCCGCCGCACCTTCTGGGATTTCATCCTGTTGCACTTCACTGTAGCGTTATGTTCACTGCCATTAAGGAAAATACACCACTCATGGGGGTTCAGCATCATTTAAACATTTTAAGTACTAGGTATGATACCATACCAGAGTTTCAGCACCTGAATTAGTTTTTTTTCTAGAACCAGACTTTATAGAACAACTTTTTATTTCCTTAAATTGAAAAAAAGTTTCATTTATACACAAGAAATTTGTCTGAGAGAACTGTTCAGTGTTTGAGAGTGACACAACAACTAACTGACTGGACAGACATTGTGGTGAGGGGCCATCCCTGCAGCAGTGACTAAGATAGTGTGTCTCCAGCAGGGGGCACTGCTGCCTCTATTAACCATCAGTAAGTGAAGGATATATTTGATCTCTTTGGGCTCCAGCGGGATGGGTCCATACTGACGGGAACAGTCACAGTCGGCCTGAGTCACAACCAGAACCAGGTTACTGTCAGGAATCTGCTGCACCACGAACATCCTGAAACACAAATGACAGGGAGCCGCCAATCAATCAATCAATCCATCAATCAATCAATGATCATCAGGTATAATAAATAACAAGTAACAGACATCAGCAGAGCACATTAAAGAGACAATTAATTAAACCTTCAATCAATTGTTTGAGTTTATAATTTAAAGGGAAATTCCACCATAAAACAAAATGTTCATGTTAATATATTTTACAGCTCAGTTTTAACGTGAGTCTCACCTTCATGCTGTAGTCATCAATAAAGAGCTGATCATCTCTCTGATTAGACTTTAGACTAAATTGGATTATGTATCAGCTCAGCTGTGACCACCTGTATACAGGTGTGACCCATCTTAAGTTGCTAAACAGAAGCATATGGAGTTATCTCCACTGGATATTCCACTACAGTCACTGCTTGCTTGAGTTTATAAAGAGAGGGAAATATTACAGATGGTGAGTCAATGGGTGAATTTCTCATTAGAAGTATTGGCAGAAGTGGTGAATCGATTTGAGCTACAAAGAGAGGATAAATTGATCCTGACTTTACACCAGCATCACAACATCATGGATTTAGACACTGGACCTGTACAGAGGTCTGTACTACGGAGCAGGATTTAGAGTTAGCGAGCTAACTTCAGGGTTAACTCTGGGTTTTCAGTACTACGAAGCTGGTTCTGTTTATACCGGGATAAATCACCGTGGTAACTGATGCTGAACAGCTGACCTGCTCTGGAGCTGCTGAACTCCAGAGTGTTGAATCACAGCCTGTCACAACCCCGACCTCTGACCAATCAGGTCACTGAAGAAATAAGCATCCATGGACGACAGTCTGACAGGTAAAAAAGAGGAGCCTGAATATTGTTATATTGTTTGATTGTTTCAGGGCTCTGTTTCCTCTGGTTTTAATACAGAGCTTCTAACAAACTCAGAGACAACAACACTCAACACATGATTTCAACTGTAATTTAACTTCTGCAAAGTTTATTTTAGTCGCAGTGACAGTGTTGATATTTGACACTGATTCTGTCACAGCAGCTCAGAATAACATGAGACACCTGTGTGATGAGAACTGAGATAAAACAGATCATATTTTATCAGTAAAATAATCCACACACTGTTAATCAGCTCCTGTTATTATTAATGCAACATGTCAGTCAGACAGACGTCATCAGTCATTAACTGCTCTTTACTTGAGCAGCAGAAACAGTGCGGTGTTACTTTAAAGTGTTTCTGTGACATATTCAGAGGAGTTTCATCATCATCACACTAAACAGCAGAACACACTCTGCTAACGTCACACAGAGCTCAGTGACACCTGCACGTCATTTACGTCTCGGATGACGGTGAATGTTTGGAGAGTGTTTTCAATGTTTCCAGATTTTCTGTTTAAAGATGACAGAGTACATCCCACCGCCACTGCCATTTGACTGTCTGTGAGTCCCACACACTCTTGGTTCTGTTTCACCTCATCTCATATTAAGCAGCCTTCTTCATCCATGGCTGTGATGATGTCGCTCATAATTAACAGCCCCGCCTCTTCCAGAGTAGACTGAACTCGTTGATAACCAGCTTTGTAGCACCGGTTATCCAGACGGCTAATGTGACGGGTTAGTCAGGCCAGATAATGAGAAGATATCCTGGCTAAGTTGAACTGACTCCGTAGTTCAGGCCTCTGGTATCAGCTCCATATACAAGATTGTGAAAAAATGGGAACTCTGTTATGACATTATAAACATCTCATGACCTCATATTTGTCTTTTTTTGTTCTGTGTACTGATGTTTTATTTTATTCTTTGTTCCTCCACCTATTGAACGTAAAATATGTTAATAAATAACGTATAAAAAAGGTGTATGTAGAAATGACAAATGTAAGAGTTCATAACTTTGATATGCACAGTGTCAACAATAACATGGTACTCTATGTGGTTTGTTCAGTGTTGAAAAACAACACACTATGTATAGCTTAATGTGGTCCAGAGTTAGGGATGCACAATTAATAGAAATAGGCAAAGTGCAATATATATAATATCAAACGTAGACTTCTTTGATGAAAGAAAAACATGTCACAATGTACCACTATAAATAAAGCATTGTGGCGCTAGAGAGCTCATAGTATAGTTTGTCATAGGAAACAAAAAGGCATAGAAAAGTGTGTCATGATTAAGATCTTAAAAAAGTTATAGTGTATGATGATGATGTGGTAAAACACCTTACAGCTAGAGAGGGTCCCCCTACAGGTCGTATTCCAGAGGGGAGGGAACATATTTGAAGTCAGCAAATATCACATCATCATCATTTTTATATTTGAATGCAAAATGACTAATCTCACTATTCTCTCTCTGCAGCAGTAGACAAATGTTTTTAAATCCTCTAAAGTGATCCCGAACTCTGTTGGACAGCTGACTGTACGTAGACTCTTTACTATCCAAAACGACTTTAATCTAAATTCAGTTTCAGGGTGAATTTGCAGTTTTTTTAATATTTATTTTTGTGAGTAAAGACAATAACCTTGATACACTTCTAGAAGGTTCCCGTGTTTGACCACAAGATGGAGCCGTGGGAGTATTTTTGTTCTTAGCAGAGAGACTGTTTGTTGACGTCTGTGCGCAGGTAGGAGTTGGGTTTAAAACAGTAAGAAGTGAGCAGGATGAGTGGGTTTATATAACATATGTTCAGTGTTAGACTTTAAAGATATTTTTGGAAAGTGAGGGCATTTTATCTGATGCTCACTTCTTGTTGCAGTTGAGGTGAGAATTAGGTTCATGTTAAGGCTTGAATGAAATATATATATGATGCCTTGCTGTGGATTTAACTACCTGACAGAGTTTAAATGAGTAAACTGCAACAGACACATTAATGCAGCAGTAAGATTAATCCAACATTATCAGATAGAACAGGAAAATGCTGACATGGAACATTTTACTGTTCTGTACTTATGTTTCCTTAAAGGTCCAGTGTGTGTTGGATTTAGAGCAACATACTGGCAGAAATGGAATACCTTTGTTTTCTTTAGTGTATAATCACCTGAAAATAAGAAGCACTGTGTTTTTGATACCATAGAGTAAGTTGTTTACATCAACACAGGGAGCAGGTCCTCGTCCACGGAGATCACCATGTTGCACTGCCATGTTTCTACAGTAGCCCAGAATGAACAAACCAAACACTGACTCTAGATAGGGGCCATTTACATTTTTGCATTAGCCTCTGTAGGTAACAGCCCATTTGCAATTGGCAGCATTGGAGCTTAAATCACCACACCTGTTTGGAGAGGAAGTGACCTCTGCAGATAATTGGGCTCCCAGTAAAAACCTCCTGAACATCTGGATCTGGGTCGCCCTGTTTTTGATGAGCCAAACAGCATCAGATAAACACTGATTTGTGACGTGAAAGAACTTTAACCAGGGTTTTAAATGAAACAATGAATACCTGCTTAAAGTGCAGACTCTCAGCTTTCATTTAAGGCTTTTTTCAAAAATGTAGTATGAACCATGTAGGAATTACAACCATTTCTTCACACAGTCCCCCGACTTTAAGGGCTCATAAGTATTTGGACAAACTAACATAATCATCAATTAAACAGTCAGTTTTAATACTTGGTTGCAAATCCTTTACAGTCAATGACTGCCTGAAGTGTTGGACACATAGGCATCATCAGATGCTGGGTTTCTTCCCTGGTGATGCTCTGCCAGCCCTTTACTGCAGCCGTCTGCACTTCCTGCTTGTGTTTTGGGTGTTTTGCCCTCAGTTTTGGCTTCAGCAAGAGAAACGCATGCTCAGTTGGATTCAGGTCAGATGATATGACTTGGCCATTGCAAAACATTCCACTTCTTAGCCTTAAAAATGTCTTTGGTTGCTTTTGCAATATGCTTCAGGTCAATGTCCAACTGCACTGTGAAGCATCGTCCAATGAGTTTTGAAGCATTTGGTTGAATCTGAGCAGATAATGGTGCCCCAAACACTTCAGCTTTCATCCTGCTGCTCTTGTCAGCAGTCACATCATCAATAAATACAAGAGAACCAGTTCCACTGGCAGCCATACATGGCCATGACATAACAGTACCTCCACCATGCTTCACTGAAGTCTTGTCTTGCTGACAAGAGCAGCAGGATGAAAGCTGAAGTGTTTGGGGCACCATTATCTGCTCAGATTCAACTAAATGCTTCAAAACTCATTGGACGATGCTTCACAGTGCAGTTGGACAATGACCTGAAGCATACTGCAAAAGCAACCAAAGACATTTTTAAGGCAAAGAAGTGGTGCCCCAAACACTTCAGCTTTCATCCTGCTGCTCTTGTCAGCAAGACAAGACTTCACTAGAATAAATACAGAGGGTTTATCACAAGATGCAAACCATTGGTTAGCCTTAAAAATGGAAGGCCAGATTAGAGTTTGTCAAAACCATCTAAAAAGCCTGTACAGTTGTGGAACAGCATACTATGGACAGATAAAACAAAGATCAACTACCAGAATGATGGGAAGACAAGAGAAGGAAGAAGGGAAGGAACTGCTCATGATCCAAAGCACACCACCTCATCAGTGAAGCATGGTGGAGGTACTGTTATGTCATGGCCATGTATGGCTGCCAGTGGAACTGGTTCTCTTGTATTTATTGATGATGTGACTGCTGACAAGAGCAGCAGGATGAAAGCTGAAGTGTTTGGGGCAACATTATCTGCTCAGATTCAACAAAATGATTCAAAACTCATTAGACAATGCTTCACAGTGCAGATGGACAATGACCTGAAGCATACTGCAAAAGCAACCAAAGACATTTTTAAGGCAAAGAAGTGGAATGTTATGCAATGGCCAAGTCATATCATCTGACCTGAATCCAAATGAACATGCGTTTCTCTTGCTGAAGCCAAAACTGAGGGCAAAACACCCAAAACACAAGCAGGAAGTGCAGACGGCTGCAGTAAAGGGCTGGCAGAGCATCACCAGGGAAGAAACCCAGCATCTGATGATGCCTATGTGTCCAACACTTCAGGCAGTCATTGACTGTAAAGGATTTGCAACCAAGTATTAAAACTGACTGTTTAATTGATGATTATGTTAGTTTGTCCAAATACTTATGAGCCCTTAAAGTCAGGGGACTGTGTGAAGAAATGGTTGTCATTCCTACACGGTTCATACTACATTTTTGAAAAAAGCCTTAAATGAAAGCTGAGAGTCTGCACTTTAAGCAGGTATTCATTGTTTCATTTAAAACCCATTGTGGTGGTGTACAGAGCCAAAATGATAACAACTGTATCATTGTCCAAATAATTATGGACCTGACTGTACATGCTACACAGTGAGGACCAAATAATGTATTTTAGCAACAGAGTGAGGACAGTTTTGCAAAGTGAGGACATTTTGGCTGATCCTCATTTTTCAAAGGTTTTATGGTTCAGGTTGGAATTAGGTTTCGGTTAGGGTTAGGCATTTAGTCGTGATGGGCAGGGTTAGGGGGTTAGGGCCTTGGGAATGCATTATGTCAATAAGGGTCCTCAAAAAGACAGCGGTACAAGAGTGTGTGTGTGAGTGTGAGTGTGAGTGTGTGTGTGTGACTCTCACTTCTGGCAGCGTCCACACTTGATGAGGCTGTTAGCTTCTCTGACAGACGAGTCGTACATGAAGCCGGGATATGCTGTGTCGCAGGGCTGCAGAGCCTCCACCTTCTTCTGCTTATGACCTGACACACACACACACACACACACACACACACACACACTGTGAGAACTGAATTTGAAACAAACTCCTCCTAATTCTAATAAAAACTCGTCCGCTGACTAAAGGACGACAAAAGTCTTCTCATCATCTTTCTGTACCGTCTGTATCAACACACACGTCGTACTCACTTGTATGATAGCCAGCTTTGCCTGAATGGATGAAGATGGACCACACACCCGGGTGATGATGACAGTGATAATGATGATGATGGTGAAGATGTGGATGAAGATGAGGCCGCCATTGTGCAACAGAATGTTGTAAATGAGAAATAAAGCAGCGATGAGATGACAAAAAACAAACACAACACCTTAAAGTTTTGCTCTTTGTTCTGAGCTGTTGTTGTGTTATCATTGGTGGGAAAGTAACTCAGTAAATTTACTCAAGAACTGTACTTAACTACAGTTTTGAACAAAATTCCTTGAGCATAAGGCCAGTTAGATTTACGACTTTTTAAGACTTTATACAACTGAACTAAGAATGAAATGTAAGACCAAGTTTACAACAACCAAATTTGAAGAAAAACACGAACAAAACAACAAAAACATGAACCGACATCATTTCCTCGTGGTGAGGGACAATTTAATGACTTATTTGGTCAAGTTAAAAATTTAGATGATCAACTTCAAACGCTGAAAACCTTCCAAACTTTCTTCGGTGGAACACGTGATGAACAATGAACATGAAAAGTATCCATTTGGTTTACCTTGAAAAAAGCTTGTTCATTTGTCAGTTTATTGTGAATGAATGTAAATGTACACGAATATTGTTTGTTCCTCTATCATGATCTACGCCATGAAATATTATTTAAAAAATATATTTTACCACTTATTTTGAAAGAAAAATGATTCACAATATCCTACTTCCCACGTCTGAGCATTTGTAAGACTTTTTAAAACCAATAAAGGCCTTATATTTTAGATGAATGGATTCAGTGCCTTTAAGGACACTTTTTAAGGATCAGCTGGAGGCCTGACTTTGAGGCACTTGTATTTTAAGTATTTCCATTTTCTGCTACTTTATACTTCTACTCCACTACATCTCAGAGGGAAATATAGTAGTTTTTATCCCACTAACTTTCTTTAAGAGCTGTAGTTACTACTGTTTAACTACATTTGTTACTTTAATAAATACAGAATATGATGTATATTATAGATTAAGATAACATAGGGGAGATTAAAAGCTACAAGGCAGTATATAACATAAGTAAACTAAGCCTCACCTGTACGAGCTGCAATATTAAAGTGATGAACACATACATGCATTAATAATTACACTCCAATAATATAATATAAATTATATTATTGTACTTTTACAACTTTAAATCAGCTACAGTTCTACTCTACTCTGATGTATTTCTCCACTGTGGTATTACTACTTATCCTACAGTCAAACATCAGAGTTCTTCTTCCACTTCTGTGTTTAATATCTAACATGTTCACTTCTTACCGTCCACAAAATAATCCGAGTGCCAGAGACCACAGAGGTTAAAGTCCAGCAGGAACCTGACAGCAGACACAAACACATCCTTAACAACAAAAATCATATTTCAAATATTCAAGTGTTTATGTGCTGACACACACACACACACACACACACACACACACACACACACACAGATCTGTTCTGTATCTACATACATGTCACACAGTAGGTACATTTAGTGACCATGGAATCAGTGATCTTTAAGATCATTCATTTTGTTTAATTTCTCTCTCAGAGGTGGTGGATTTCATGTTACATTTAGACTCTTTGATTTATGCATATTAAAAAACATTAAATTCAGCACACTGACTCATCAATATTAAAAATATCCACAGGATATAGTTCACATCCGATTAAGGTTTGAAATGCAAAGATACAAACTCAGCTTTAACACTAGAATTACTGCCGTGCAAGGTACGCCCCCACGATCCAGTCAAGTTACACTCACAGTTTACATCCGTGTCAGTGAAAACATGGATGCTTCACACACAGAAGATCTACACAATCAGCACAGTTTTAAGGCGGACACCTAAAATGTGGGTCACCAACTCAGTATCTGACCAACTGCAGGGTTCCCACACATTTCTATTCACAAAATTTCAAAACTTCTCCACGATTTTTCAAGGACCTCTAATGAAACTGAGTGACAATTCACAACATATAACACGAAGAGAACTGTACGGGATACTTTACTCCAAATGTGGATTATTGCATGAAAATTAACAGCAAGAAGTGTCTTTGTGGAACATTACGATGTCACAGTGAAACTGACCTTTGACCTTTTGGATATAAAATGTCATCACTTCATAATTTTACCCTTTTAGACATTTGTGTCAAATTTTGTCATAATTAGTGGATGAATACTTGAGTTATGGCCAAAAACATGTTTTGTGAGGTCACAGTGACCTTGACTTTCTACCACCAAAATCAAATAAATTCATGATTGAGTCCAAGTGAACATCAGTCCCAAAGTTAAAAAAAAAAAAAGTCCCTCAGTGTTCTTTAGACATCCCATCTACAGGAATGAGACGGACACAAGGTCACAGTGATCTTGACCTTTGAGCACCAAAATCTTATCAGTTTACCTTTTAGACCAAGTGGACGTTTGTGCCAAATCAGTAAAAATTCTCTTGAGGCGTTCTTGAGATAGCCTATTGCATTCACAAGAATGAGGTCACAGTGACCTTGACCTTTGCGCCATTGCCACCAAAATCTAATCAGTTCATTGATAAGTCCATGTGGACGTTTGTGCCAAATTTAAAAAAAAATCCCTCATGGTGTTCTTTAGATATCTTGTTCACAAGAACGACATGAACACAAGATCACAGTGATCTTTGACCACCAAAATCTAATCAGTTTATTGAGTCCAAGAAGACACTTGAAAAAATTCCCTGAATGCATTCTCTAGATATCACATACGTATCAATCCATCAATCAATCAATTTTATTTATAAAGCACAAATCACAATTTGCCTCACAGGGCTTTACAGCATACGACATCCCTCTGTCCTTATGACCCTCACAGCTGATCAGGAAAAACTCCCCAAAAAACCCTTTAACAGGGAAAAAAAACCGGTAGATCAGATGTATGTACATATGGACAACCCGAAAAACAAAATGGCATCCAGCATAACAAGTTGGCTGTCATGTATTTTCTGTTTCATGTTTGTTTTGAATAAATTGAAATAATGACTAAATGAGCACAAACACGCAGTCCGTTACAGAACATCTGCAACTTTCAAGATTACAGGGGGAAAAAAAAAAAAAACCCTTTCTTTGAATTTCGCCTTTACCTGGCCCTTAATGATCTCACCTGTTCACTTATGTTAATAAAGTTAATGAAAAAGCCACTGTAAATTATTAAAGGTT